TATATATATGGTGCAGGTATGCAAGATAAGGCAACCGTTGAACGATTTAAAAATCAGAGCTCTGGGAGGAGGCGAGAGCGTTTCCCTGCATGCAGTGTTGTCGGGCCAGGAAGGACCAATCCCTTTTCAGTGGGCTTTGCCGTTGCCATTCATGTGGCTGATGTTTGACTTGGTCACCTCAGTGCTGTAGAGACAGTCCAAGAAACCTCGGGAGATCTCCGTGACCAGGGATCTATCTGGGATGGCCTGGGCCATGCCGTAGATCGCTCCCTGCAAGAGCAGGAACATAAGTGAGCTTACAAACATCCAGACACATCATCCGTCTCCTAAAACAGGTTTTCTCTTAGCTATATACTTTCAGACGCAGAAGGCAGCTGCATTAATAAAAAAATTCCAGTTAAATGGCAGCACAGATGTTCCTGTTTTTGTTTGTTTTTGTTGCATTTGGATTCATATAACCTCTTGTACCTCTCCAATGTGATGAGTGAACTGACTGAAGAACAAATGAAACTTGAGAAACTAACTTCTAGTTATATGGAATTCACCTTAATCTGCAGCAAGATCTGTTCTCAGTGTTAACTACGCTGCTGACAAACCTGTCGGGCACAGTGCTGCTTGTCCCACGTGGGTGGAGTTTAAAAGCTGGCACACAAAATAGCTGCTTGTGTCGACTCAAATCGAAGGTTTTATACAGCAACAATGCAAAATGCCACTTCCCTTCCCAAAGTACCCACAGAATGTTAAACAGAAAAGAAAGCTAAATACACTGCACTCAGCATGATTCCTCTCCAGTGGCTACACTAGCAAGCACTACAAAGGTGAAGTCAGCTTGATTTGAATGATAAAGGTATAGTTTGGATCTACAGTAATATGTAATCTCCCTTGGTTTCCTCCTACAGTCCAAAGTCAGGTGAAGTAGCTGAATAAGGTATGAATTTATCTATATGCAGTAGGCTCAGACTGTGACCCTGTCATTACAATAGGATTACAACATCCTGTCATGGATCATCAAAGCAAAACTGTGATGTAATGATAAAGAAAGATTGGTGTCTTTGTGTTATTTAAACTTCTTAAAAAACCCACATGTTAATGATGACTATGTAGATAAGTAAACCAAACTCACCATTCCTGTAGTTTTCTCTTTGGGGTTCTTCATGATGATGGCGACCTGCTCTTTGACATCACGAATAAAGTGATCAGCGACCCCTGGCTGAGTGTGCAAAACTGTGCAGCAAATGTGGATGCTGTGAAAGCAACGATTGTGAGGTGTAAATATTTATCATGCCATCACATTTACTGAGACGTTATCGTTTGTTTTACATCTACCTGGACGGGTACTGCAATGTGTTCAGATTCCAGCCCTTTGACGTCAGTGCGTTAGACAGACGGAAAATATCAAAATCATCCGAGCCGATGGCCACCACCGACACCTCCGGATCCCCAAACACAAACACCCCTTTAATCTTGCGGATTCTGACAAACAGAGAAGAAGACAGAAGAATTGTACAGAAGATAATAAATTACAGACTCTGTAATTTATTATGTTCAGTGTAACAAGTCTGTGTCTTACTCTGTTTTGATCTTGTGAGCTGTGCTGACGATCTTCTTGGTGGCGTCTACGTAGCCGTTCTCTCCCATATACATCATGGTCGCCCAGCAGGCGGCGATGATTCCTCCTGGCCTGGAGCCCGCTATAGAGGGTGAGGCATAGATCCCCCCTTGCCAGTCAGCAGCTACAAAGTATTGGTACTGACGGTACTTTTTATCACTGTAGAGGATCACTGAGGAACCTTTGGGGGCGTAGCCATACTGGAGAGAAACGTAACACATGCACACAAGGTGCAGAATTAAAACAAGCATATCCCTGTACATGCCACACATAGAACAATCTATGTGTGGTATGTATATATATATATTAGGGGTGCAACGATATTCGTATCGATATTGAACCGTTCGATACAGTGCTTTCGGTTCGGTACGCATATGTATCGAACAATACAACATTTGTAATTTATTTTATCAACTTTCCTTCTGACGATGCTGTCTGTGTT